TAGTAGTAGAATAAAAAAACAAAATGTCCATCTTCCTCTCCGTTGCTAAGCACGGCCTGCTCGGGTACAATGAAAATTAACACAGTTCAAATGCACGTCAATCCCGGCTAATGACATGTACTCTGCCAGAAAAAAAAGATATAAAAAGGGTATAAAAAGGGTACAGAAAAGTATTACTAAATGAATGAACCTGTAAGATCGGAATAAATAACTGATTTAAAGCACACAAACACATATGTGTAGAGCCTCAGTTTAGTGCGGGTCAGACTAATATCGTCCAATGTGGTCTGTGAGGGTGGCTTAACTGTTCCACCGTTTAAATTATTCCACAGTCTCCCGAGACCCACCCTCACTAGCTCTGTTTATGTTTACACCACTCTGCTACAATCAAATATCTCGATACATTCTTATCGGTGGACGTTATAACTCACCCTCACTAGCTCTGTTCATGTTTACACCACTCTGTCACAATCAAATATCTCGATACATTCTTATCGGTGGACGTTATAACTCACCCTCACTAGCTCTGTTCATGTTTACACCACTCTGTCACAATCAAATATCTCGATACTTCCTTATTGGTAGACCTTATAACTCACCTTCACCGGCTCTGTTTATGTTTACACCACTCTGTCACAATCAAATATCTCGATACATTCTTATTGGTGGACGATATAACTCACCCTCACTAGCTCTGTTTATGTTTACACCACTCAGCTACAATCATATATCTCGATACATCCTTATTGGTGGACCTTATAACTCACCCCCACCAGCTCTGTTTATGTTTACTCTATTCTGCCACTATCAAACATCTCGATTCATCCTTATTTGTGAACCTCATAACTCACCCCCACCAGCTCTGTTTATGCTTATACCACTCTGCTACAATGAAATATCTCGATTCATCCTTATTGGTACACCTTATAACTCAACCCCACCAGCTCTGTTTATGTTTACACCACTCTGCTTCAAATCAAATATCTCTATACATTCTTATTGGCAGACCTTATAACTCACCCTCACCAGCTCTGTTAATGTTTACACCACTCTGTCATAAACAAATATCTCGATACTTCCTTATTGGTAGACCTTATAACTCACACTCACTAGCTCTGTTTATGTTTACACCACTCTGCTACAATCAAATATCTCGATACATTCTTATTGGTAGACCTTATAACTCACCCTCACTAGCTCTGTTTATGTTTACACCACTCTGTCACAATCAAATATATTCCGATACATCCTTATTGGTAGTCCTTATAACTCACCTTCACCGACTCCGTTTATGTTTACACCAGTCTGTCACAATCAAATATCTCGATACATCCTTATTGGTAGTCCTTATAACTCACCCTCACTAGCTCTGTTTATGTTTACACCACTCTGCTACAATCAAATATCTCGATACATCCTTATTGGTAGTCCTTTTAACTCACCCTCACTAGCTCTGTTTATGTTTACACCACTCTGCTACAATTAAATATCTCGATACATCCTTATTGGTGGACCTTATAACTCACCCTCACCAGCTCTGTTTATGTTTACACCACTCTGCTACAATAAAATATCTCGATACATCCTTATTGGTGGACCTTATAACTCACCCTCACCAGCTCTGTTTATGTTTACACCACTCTGCTACAATAAAATATCTCGATACATCCTTATTGGTGGACCTTATAACTCACCCTCACTAGCTCTGTATATGTTTACACCACTCTGCTACAATCAAATATCTCGATACATCCTTATTGGTAGTCCTTGTAACTCACCCTCACTAGCTCTGTTTATGTTTACACCACTCTGCTACAATTAAATATCTCGATACATCCTTATTGGTGGACCTTATAACTCACCCTCACCAGCTCTGTTTATGTTTACACCACTCTGCTACAATAAAATATCTCGATACATCCTTATTGGTAGTCCTTATAACTCACCCTCACTAGCTCTGTTTATGTTTACAACACTCTGCTACAATCAAATATCTCGATACATCCTTTTGGTGGACCTTATAACTCACCCTCACCAGCTCTGTTAATGTGTACACCACTATGCTACAATCAAATATCTCGATACATCCTTATTGGTAGTCCTTGTAACTCACCCTCACTAGCTCTGTTTATGTTTACACCACTCTGCTACAATTAAATATCTCGATACATCCTTATTGGTGGACCTTATAACTCACCCTCACCAGCTCTGTTTATGTTTACACCACTCTGCTACAATAAAATATCTCGATACATCCTTATTGGTGGACCTTATAACTCACCCTCACCAGCTCTGTTAATGTGTACACCACTATGCTACAATCAAATATCTCGATACATCCTTATTGGCAGACCTTATAACTCATTCTCACTAGCTCTGTTTATGTTTACACCACTCTGCGACAGTCAAATATCTCGATACATCCTTATTGGTGGACCTTATAACTCACCCTCACTAGCTCTGTTTATGTTTACACCACTCTGATACAATCAAATATCTCGACACATCCTTATTGGTGGACCTTATAACTCACCCTCACTAGCTCTGTTTATGTTTACACCACTCTGATACAATCAAATATCTCGATACATCCTTGTTGGTGGACCTTATAACTAACCCTCACCAGCTCTGTTTATTTGTACACTATTCAGTCACAATCAAATATCTCGACACATCCTTACAAACCTTATATCACATCTTCACCTGCATCGTTCATGTTTTATTACTCTGGAAGGTTAATATAATATTAAACACATAAATGGTTTATACAGGATTGTATATGAATATTGTTTAATGTCAACGTGGCGTTTAGGGCTTTGCTTTTGTTGCACGGTGGAATAATTGATAGGACGGCACAGTTAAGCTAACCTCAAAGCCACATTGAGGATATTACGTAACGTTTTAGATAGTATACTAACCTGACATGTTTTGAGGAAAATGGCATGGATGTATGTTAATCAACAAATTACTCTTTATTTTACTCTGGAGTAAATTTCATTAAATATATTTTAGGAGCACCTAGATTATTCAAACAATTATCATAAAATAAACATACTACCACCATACTATAAAATGAAAAATTAGAGGATAGTTTTGCCCCTATCTCTAAATTCAAAATATAGACCTAATAAAATCACGATAACGAAACCATTTTTTCTCAGTAATTTCATATTTGGGAGATCCAAAAGTAATTTCGCTATTCGAATTAAAATTCAATATACGGAATAAAATAGTAAAATAAAATATATGTCTTAGCCAACGTACGTTATTCTCTTTCTGCAATGGTTTGGATGGAAAATGCATCAATGTCAATTCGGAATTCACTATATGTGAGCGAGTCCCTTAACTTAAACGGCTTCTTTTCACAATCAAATCATATTATTATTTTGTTTTAACTTTTTACATTTTAGATAGCAGAGTGTATTCCGTATTCGTAAGTGCCATGTGTTATGGGCAGTGATATGTTAATGCGAAGCTTCGGTGGCTTAGTCGTCAGCATTAACACTATCCTTTGACCATTAGCTGCTCATGTTAATGTATTTGGAACACATTCCATCTCACATCCTAAAACACATACACGTGTCAGTAATGGCTTAGGGAAAATCTAGCAAACAAATCGTCAAGTACATGAAACATGACAGTTTTTAATTATCAGATACGCCCGTATGTACGATTTTATGTCTTTGAAGCTTTAGAAAACTAATCAAACCAACCGATTCCAAAAAAGGTTCTCCCATTCACGTTTGAGGTAAAATCACTTAGAGAATAATCTATCACAAGGAAAGTAAACATCAGTAAAACTGTTTTCTTGGAAATATTTCTCGGAAACCGGTCGTTGGACTCAAAATGTTGATGTGAGGCTACAGCTAAAAAATAATTTACTGAACTACCTAAATGTCTCAAAAGTAAAACCATAACACAGTGTATTGCGCAAAACACTATTGACCTGTAAGAAAGTCAAATAACAGAATTGACAGTTTTGTAGCTTTATGAGATAAATTATTGACGTTAAGACTTCTTTTTCGAAATATAAGCCTACTAGTCCATAGTGTAATGTTAATATTTTGCCACTTTATTAAAACAATATTATACTTAAAATTTTCACCCAAGTAAAAATTAAACATTGACTCAATAGGATAAAATCGTCCACACAGTACAGAATGGTGATCTTGATTTGGATGGGGATATAAGACTCTTGTCCTCAATTAATTTGTATTTATTTGGATAATATATTCTACCGGTTAAGGTATATAGTCCAATCTGGTCTATGAGCCCTAAAACCAAAAGATATTTTAGATGCATGAAGGTCCAAATTATATTGTTAAATGTAATACAAATTATCAAATAAACTGGTTACTGCCCATGTCCTCCTTACTATCGACATGAAGATGAATATAATTATAATTAAAACCTACATACAAAGGAGAAATATTGCACAAAGCGATCCCACATTATACCACATGAATTAACCTAATGAAACCCGGTCACGTGGTCCGAGCCTTTTTATAACCTCTGTTGTGACGTGGAAACTCTATACTCTCTACCTTGGTTCGAACGAGGCACAGCCAATCATAAGGCTTACGGTGGTTACATGCTTAGAATAATTCAAACGTGCTCCAACAAAAATCCCTCACTACTTTTTCCCTTGAAATTAAAACCAAATGTTTGAATATTAAACGTATAACATCGTTGGAATATAACCATAACAAAAGTTAAAGACAATAGCTATGATTATTCATGAGAAACGTGTTCAAAATAGACTGTTTGTTAATATAAACATTCCACCTAGAATGTTAAAAACCTTATTACACAAACAGAAGTGTTGTCCCATTCATAAAAACTACATATGATATTATATTTGTTATGTTTTAATAATCGTTGGTCTAAACACATTTAAACAACTACCATTTAATTTCTTCGATTGTCCTGACAGCTGGTTTATAGTGATATTAATATTAACAACAGCAAATGGTATTTGTAAACATTCTTGAAATGTTTGTTGTTTTGTAAAGCGTGTTGGAATTGAACGAATTATGTGTCTATTTATGAAGTTTACTATAACTGCGACGATACTATTTCTACTCGGGGGTTTAGTATTTTGCATGTTCTACGAGTAAATGTCAAATGTCCGGTCGAAAGGGAGAAAAAAATCTTCGATTGGTCCATCACGACCTCAACTCTCAGATCTCGCGGATGGTGGCGTTCATCGAGCACGAGGCTCAAGAGCGAGTGGAAGAGATTGACTGCAAGACGGAGGGAGAGTGTTGCTACGAGAAGAGTCGCCTGATCCACCAGGCGAGGCTGGAGATGCAGCGGGTGTACGACAAGAAGGAGAGGGCGGTGTTGAAGCAGGAGCAGACCGAGCGAGCGACCCTGAGTAACCAGGCGAGACTGAGGAACCTGGCGTGTAGAGAGGCGCACATCGCGCGGGTAGAAGCGGAGGTCCAGGAACGACTAATGACCAGACTGGCTGACAGCAAGCAGTACAGAGAACTGCTGTACAAGCTACTGGTGCAGGGAGTCTGCAGACTGCTGGAGAAGAACGTACAGGTCCGAGTGTTGGAGAGAGACGTGAAGCTGGTAGAGGAGCTGTTCCCCCAGACTAGGGAGTACTACAGTCGTGAGGTGGGGGGACAACTGAAGCTATCCCTGGACACCTCGGCACACCTCCCTCCCAGCAGCCTGGGCGGCGTGGAGCTCTTCATCCCTAGTCACAGGATCCGTGTAGTCAACACACTACACAGCAGGACACAGATGATTGTGCGACAGCTGGTCCCGGCCATCAAACACTCGCTGTTCGACAGCTTTGATAAAAACCAGGGTCTCACACATTAAGTATTTATCAAAACTGAATAAGAGATTTTGATTGCAATGCATAATCTATTATGAGATTTTTATGAATAGCTATTTGACAAAAATAAGATTAATTTGCTGAAAGAATCGTGTTATTTGATCTCAAAGTTAATTGTATTTTCAATGTTTACGAGGGTTTGTTGTGGTTCATAATCTGTGGTCTTAATCCTGGATATTTCAAAAGTGATAATATGATTTCTTTACTGTTAAATTGATTTGCCAACTGTTCTTGAAATTATAAGTAAAATCCAGGTAAGCTATGTACCGTTTTGTGTGGTTGTTACCACGAATACTACAAAAATGCCGGTATGGATCATAAACATAAACAAATGAATTCGTTGGCCCGAATCCCAGAATAATAGCACTGAACATATGTTTTGGCAGTTCCATTTAAGCAATGTTAAATCATGTTTATTTTCGGGCCAAAAATGTCATTTGTTTATGATTATGATCCATACCGGTATTTTTCTAGTAAACGTGGTTGTTACATTGCACTGCAATAAAGCAAACGCCCTCAGTTTAGTGTTATTGTTGTGCAGTAAAGCCGATACGTTAAGCTTGAGTTCGTAAATGGAACTCTCTATTCAATAATGTATTTTGAAACATCACAAAACATCTTTGAATTTTTATTCTAGAAAAGTTAAGTATGTATTTCACTAGACCTAACTTTGTATAGCTCATGTAAGAGTGGATGTATTATTAGCATTATCAGTGGCTGAGGAAATCTGTAGAAACGTATTCTTGTAAGCAACCACGTAGGAATGTAACACGTTGTACAAATGGATCAATCAAAAAATAAAATATTGATACATCGAGAAAGAAATCGTCAATAATAACGAATGTTCCCTTTAACAGGAAAGTACCACAATGGTATATAATGATAATATCTTTTCCATGTAATGCTTACAAGTTTACAAGAACGAACAAGGTAAATAGTTAATCTATCTATATTATTAAAATAATTTGTTAATACTTGTAATTTGTTAATGATTTTCAATAAAATTGCGAAGTAGGTATTTTAAGCTAAGTACGAATGGAGAGAGCGTAGGATGAGTGGCGCGATATTGTAGTCTTGTTAGTGACTAAGGCCGACATTCATTAGACACAGCTGTTCATTAATAGCCTATACACCTAATGACGACTAAGGGACCTACAGTTTATAGTGGAATCTGAACCACATTTTTACTTGGGCATATACGAATTGGTCTAATTATCAGGATAGTGCTGCGGATAGTCGTAGTACTCACTCGTGCGGACGTTAATCCACACGAGGGAGTATCGAATCCACAGTGCATGTCTATAATAATATCCATGGTCGCCATTTCAAGAAAAGTATTAAAGTATTAAAGTAAGTATCCACAATTCGTGACCTCCTAGTAGCTGGATTACAGGACGACGCAACCCGTCCCAGTTAGTTTTTGCGTGTTTTCCATGTTTAGGTGTTTTTTGTTTACAGTAACTATCCCAAAGTTTCTAGTTTTACTATGTTTTGGTAATTATCTGTATTATTAAAATAATTTGTTGGATTTTTGTATTCAGCAAATTGACCCCTAAATATTTATGGTTATAGGCATATTGGGTAGCAATTTAAAGCTTTTATCCTCTAGATGTGCCTTTTGCGGGTTTGGCTGATATCCCGTGAAAGCCGTTAGAACTATAGGCTCGTAAAATTTCATAGTTTGTGCTGAATTTCTGTTCTGTCATTCAATAATTTTTTTTAAAGTTTACATGTGTTTAAATCATAACAGATGGTTATGATACAGTTTTATTTACATCCATACGAAAATAGGGTTATCGTTACAGTTGGTGATGCTTTAGGGAATTCATGTAAACTACTGTAATGTTATTTGTATAAAACGTAAAGAAGAAAATTATTTACGTTACATTTTGTTTTAATACGATTTTGTGTTTTCAAATAAGTTTGTTTCACTTTTTTATGCATGATTTCATATTGTATTGGAAAAACTAATTACAAAGTTATGTTTAGGTTTTGCTTAAAAAATACATGTCAGCGATAAGTTAATGATTATCACGTAAACAATTGATGATTTTCAACTAAACTTAGAACATTAGAAAATTGATAAATAACACAAATATACCATATTATTCTCAGAGTTTTATTATTGATAAAAAATACTTCAACTGATTTGGGTATATTTTATTCTTAAATAAATATGGATTTACGACATATGCAACACACCAACACATTCAGATATTAATGTATAACGGTCAACTGAGCCGGGGATGCAGCGATGTCACTGATAATAAAATACACATTTGATCCTCAGTCCTGATATTTGGGGAACAGTTTTGTGTTCCTTGTGCATTATATTTAGAAATATAACTAAACGCCAATGATGTTGTTTTATTTATATTTATTTAATTCGGTAATCCCAACTGTGTATAATTAATAATTGATTGCATTTAAAAGTCATTTTTATTTCTTGTGAATGATTAATACAGGGTGTCCATAAAAAATCGTTTAAGGACTTTGGGAAATGAATCCTCATACTAAAAGGAAGAAAAAAGTTCATTTGAAGGTATGTCCGAAAATGCATATTTACCCAGTTATCCACCATTTAGTTTTTTATACAAAAATATTTTTATCTGTGAAGTTTTTCGTTTGATGATTATGAAATTTGGTAACCATGTTAACACACACAAGAGCTATAATAGAATAAAATAAAGTAGTTACGATTGGAAATTTCAAAATGGCAGCCGTTTGAATTTTTCTTACTTAAATAACTAAAAACGGCTAATTCTATGAAAAAATGTCAAAAATACTTTTTTTATAATTATCAGTTCCCTATCCAACAATATGAAGATCAACAAGATCGAACACAAAGTAACTGAAATATAACGTTTTTTGTGTAAAAATAATGCAAAGTTAGTCGGGGAACCCTTAGTTTTGCCTTAATTTTACACAAAAAAGTTTATAGTTCAGTTATCTTTTGTCCGATCTTTTTGATATAGGTACCGTTTGATAGGGAATTGATAATTCTAAAACAAAATCATTCTTGCCATTTTTTTCTAAGAATTTGCTGTTTTCAAGTTATTTAAGTTAGAAAAATTCAAACTGCTGCCATTTTGAAATTTACAATCTGAATTACTTTATTATTTATTCTATTATAGCTCTTGTGTATGCTAACATGGTTACCAAATGTCATAATCATCGAACGAAAAACTTCACAGATACAAATATTTTTGTATAAAAAACAAAATGGCGGATAACTGGGTAAATATGCATTTTCGGACATACCTTTATATAAACTGTTTTCTTCCTTTTAGTACGAGGATTCATTTCCCAAAGTCCTGAAACGTTTTTTTATGGATACCCTGTATATAGGCTATACGTAGGATACTCAATCATACTTGAGTACATGTTCGGTTTTGGCTGTATTGAGCTATGGTACGTGAAAATAAACAAACTGTCACAATTATTTTATTAAAATGAGATGTCCAGTGCAGAGGTGGTTTACCTCTCCTGAAAGAACAAAATATTACGTCGGTGTCCATTAGATAGTTAGACATACAGTTTAATGCTGGTACGTATAAATTCCAAATAGTTGAAATATATTGGGTGTTGGAGGATTTGAATCCTGTTATATAGGAGAAAGGTCCCACCTGTTATCATGCTCATGCTGATGATCACACCTTAACCATCCATACCTTTACATCATCTAAAGTTTGTATGTATAAAAAGCTCTACTGCTATTGATGTCAAATCCCCCTTCTATATCTGATTATATATATTTCTATATCTGATATATATTTCATTGAATGAGTAGTGCTAACACAATTATATCAAAGGAAAACACTTAGGAAAATGCGGAAACAATGGGCGAGTTTACAATAGGACAAGAGACCTCTTCATTAGATTATTCAATTTATTCCTTTTCTTCCACAATTAGAGTGCTATTGTAATTGTTGAATAACAAATGAAGGGTCTTAACTTACTTCATCCTCTTACTATGTACTATGTCTTACTATCGTACTCAAAATCTTATCTAAGTTTTATACATATAATATATATAAAAATACATATTTTCATGATGTAGGATTATGCATTTTATGTAATTTTTATATTTCATCGCCTATATTTCAACAGCCCTATCTTGCTGATTATATCTGTAATTATGTCTGTTTGTGTGTTTGTCGGTGACACTTAGGATGACAAACAACGCTGCCTACTCCAGGTAAACTATAACACAGCGCAGAATAAACTCTTCATCATGTATTTACTAAATTGTTGATAGAGTCATCGTCTCTTTGAACCTGTACTAAGTTATTTGTTAATAATATCATTAACTATCAAATCCCCAGTGTTTCGCCACATCAGACCAGTGATTGAACCCATTGTATTTTACATTTTACTACATACGTCATTTATGAAAGTACAGTCAGCTGTTTAGGAAATAGTTTGGTCGGTGGCTCAGTCCGTAGCACCCACTGGGAACTTCGGATTCAAGGAAGCGATGTCGTGGTTCCTGTCATTACATTTTATCAGTACATTTCACCTTTGTACTGGTTCACTCCTTTCTTTGCTGGATACGTTCTACACACAGGTCCATAGCACCAAAGCCTATGTGGACGGGCAAATATACAAGGTTAACAGATGCCAATAGCCTTTTAATCTGATAGTCTGTGCCTCTAGTATCGCCGATGTTCTTTTTAACGGATGGCCTTCAAAATGAGTTGTCACTTGACACCTCATCTAAATATATAAAAGGCAAAGCCCTCACTGACTGACTGACTCACTCGTCACTAATTCTCCCACTTCCCATTTACCTAGGAGGCTGAAATTCGGTACACCGATTCTTTGGGCATTAAATAGGAAAACTAAGTAGTTTTTATTCTGATCGGGCTTTCGGGCTCCGCCCCAGTGGCTCTGGAGTTTCCCATGTTAACATTATGATTTTTCATATTTAAAAGGAATTTCTTAACAGCTGTTTCAATTAAACAAGTTGGTTCTGTTCTATGAT